CTTTTTTTATCTTAACATTTCATGGACAATGTCGGGGAAAACAGTTAGTTTTACTATAAAATCGTAATAGTTTATTTGACTGACGTCTCAAAATATTATTAGCATTTCGTTTATTTCGCCTCTGTTAAAAACTTTGTAAATACGAGAGCCACTAACAGCGATGTTTGGTAAATTGGGAAGCTAAATTGAGTTTCCTTTGGTGTGGTTTATTGATTGCTGACTGATGTATACGGAAATTGAGTTTTTCGAATATCTAACTTATACCGGTACTGGGTGAAAAGTGAACAGACGTTTTTATTAATAAAGTTGTGGGGATTCTTTTTATTACATTAGATATTGTAATATCTGGCAATAAGATACTCTAAATCGTTTGATTAACGTTTTTGGTGTCACATTAAAGCACACAAAAAATTTAGGAAGCTTTATGACGTCATAGGTTTGATAAGCTTCTAAAACTCTATTTTGAGTTTTCTGCCATACAGCTTAAAAAACCATAAATTAAAAACTCAAAGGCAGATTCGAATTCATAATATCTGCCTTACCTATCTGCGTTACTGTCGTGAGTTTTGTTTGTTGCAGTACAAAAAGCATACGATAATTATTTATTTAATTTTAGTATGGTAAACAGTAAAATAAGACATGTTAGTTTTTGTAAATAAACAATGTATTTATATGATAATAGCTGAGACAACGTGAATAAAGAAAAAACTATTTTCATAGAGTATAAACAACAATACAAATAGTACAAAATCTTAGAATATGAGGTGATATAGGTAATTGGCTAGGGAGTTGGACAATCAATAAATTTATTACTTAAATCGCTTACAATGTTAGCAAGCTTAGTGTTAAACAAATCGATCTGAGGATTTTGCCTTGTCATTGAATAAAATTGTCTGGCCGCTCTGCAAAAGAAAGAATACTATTTATCTACTATTATAAAATGTAAATTTCACTTTATGTAGACAACTTGAAAAGGGAAAAGTTTATCTAAGAATTTGTAAAAGAAAACCCTCAAAACGACCGTAACCCACGCGGTGTTGATCTGTCGACGATAAGTTGTTGGATTTACAGTTTAACGATTTTAGGGTATTTTATTGTTATGACTTCAATGTTCTTTGCTTTTTTTTGGAATCAAAATTTACAACAGATTTAACAAGAAGATTAAGTAGTTGCCTACTTTATTTTCTGAATATTAGCCTTGTTTGATTTATGGAAAACTCCGTATTTAAAACCAGTTAAGTTATTAGACTACAAATTATAATAGAAAGTTCCCGTGCGGCTTATTACTTACATAAAATTATGAAAATTTTATTTTATTGTTTAATTTCTCAAATTCTCAATAGCAAATGTCAAAATGACAAACCTTAGCAATATTACTTTCTTGATGTCTCTTTTCCACATTAGGGTTTTTATCCAAAATATTTACCCCCTAAGTTTAATGGCGTGAAAATATATAGCCTAAAGCGTGAAGTAAGTGTAGGGCTTTTTATTAAAAAAATGAATATTCAAAAATATACTGTAATTGCTGACATCTTAGGCAACAAAGAAGTATGTTTTTACGCTTTATTATAATAATATAGATGGGAACTTGCGTTCCCAAGAAATTCTGATATCAATAGCACTCAATAAAAACAACTCGATTACAGTAAAGAACTTAACTGAATTGGAATTTCATATTTCGAACGATATTCTTCTAGTATTCCTTAAATCCTTTTCCAAGCTATCAAAAGTTTCCCTTGTCATATAAAAATTAGGCAAAATAAAGTGACATGGGTACTTCGTGATGTGACCTTTTCCGCAACGATTTCCCTTAAGACGATGCTGATAGTAAGTTTTCGGAACTATCGTCCCATATATCTTTTCTTTATTTTTACGTGATTCTGCCCGATTGAAGGAAACCTTTAAAAACATGAAATATTTTTGAAAAGAATTACACAATTATGTTTAAAAAGACGAAAGAAAATAAAAATAGTTAGTTAAAAAGTTAATTTATAACTTTGTTAATAACAATAATTTGGTATGAAATAATGTAGTTTTAATTAATATTTCTGTTAACGTTTATGAAATGAGAATCCAAATTAAGGTTTGAAAAGTTTTACAACTTAATGAAGCAAGAAAGGATGTCACGAAGAAAGGAGGTCACGTTGCCAACTTAATTATGGAAATAGGTTTTTAGTGTTGATTCACTTAGCGTGTAGCCAAAGTGTGCTTAGACATATTTTATATGTTAAACAACTTTTTTACTTTGATGAGTTTTGGATATTTATTAAACACTAGCTGTTCCCGTGCGGCTTCATCCGCATGAAATTATGAAAATTTTATTTTATTGTTTACATTTGTCAAATTATCAATTGCAAATGTCAAAATGACATGACACGAAGATAACGCTTCCTTGATGTTGGCAGCAACTTATCTCTTTCCCACATTAGGGTTTTTATCCAAAACATTTACCCCTAAGTTTAATAGTGTTATAATATATAGCCTAAAGCGTGACGTAAGTTTAGCGCTTTTTATTAGAAAAGGAATTATCCAAAAATATGTGGTAATTGCTGACATCTTAGGCAACAAAGAAGTGTGTGTTTACGCTTTATTATAATAGTATACGAGTAGATGAAGTGAAACTTTGTACGTATTATGAAGAACAAGATAAGAAAAAGTTATAATATTTTTTTAAACTTTTCAGCACACAAACCTGTCCTGTCGTCATTAGAATATAAAATAAAGTCCACAGATAGTATTGTTTGCCAAAAAAAGTTATTAGGCAAAATAAATCCTTCGTTTCTTACAGGGAACTAATTGTGTCATTTATGTTGAGTTTTTCTAAGACCAAAATTTTGTTTCAAGTGATTTTGTACGACTTTTTAGTACTTCGTAGAT